TCTGCGAACTGTCCGTCTTTGATAGTATCATGTCAGTTTCCCTGCCAGTGTCCGGTGCCTTCTTCCGCACCAGCTGGGTTTCCTAGGAAATCCATCGATTCGAGAGTCAAAGCGGCTGAGTGTCCTGCGGCTTGTAGCATAGTTGTACTTGTTATGTGTGTGTGGCACCGACTGTGACAGATGACCTCTGGTCGTTGGCTGACACTCGCTCAAATAACATCCCTCAACACCGATTGAATGCCGTTGACCAAATTCTGGCCTATTCCCACAGGCTGTCAACCACTCCCATACTGTTAGCCGTGTTGCCTCTTGTTTCCCCTGACTGTTGACTATGGCGATGGGAAAAGTACATGTTTTTGGTACGGTTGCAATCACGCCCGAATTAACCAGTCTCGATGATGCCTCCAAATGACCTTATTCATGCAGCAGCAGCAGCAGCAGCTCCTGCCAACGTAATTAATTCATTTCCCTAGCGACGAATACCAAGCATCCAAGGTCATTCATCGAGGTATTAGGATAGATGTGTGGGCCATTTGTAGAAACAGTGCACGAGAATTGTGATCATTTGCCGTGGAAGTATTTTGCATCTAGACAATTACATTCGTGTTTTGAAAGAATGGCCAACTGCACCTATGGTAGCCTCGGCATTTTGACAAACTCACTTAAGTGATCGAAAAGTTAAAACCACTGGAAACAATCCCTGAGTGTTTTTAAGGACGCAGCCACCGTTCACCCATAGAATTGCCATGGAAAGCGGCAGTTCTACAACCGTCCGTGTAGGATCTGCTGAAAAACTCCATCTCCTGCGTCTTACTTAATCGACTAACAATGTATCTCTTGCAATGATCTCGTCCTGATCGTCAGCATTTATTTGAGGGAAACCAGGAAACCATCGACATGCTCTTTGCAGCCTGCATGAAAAACGTCAAGAAATAATGTTCACTCCCTAAGCAACCCTTTGATCATCCAATCGGAGCTTATGACACTGTCTCATGAGCCAACAACCCGAAAGTAATATGGTAAACTGGATGTCTCAAACGATTCCCGGTCCAACGTCCTGGGCTTCCTAGTGTATCTGATCTGAAGTCAAATGCCTGAAAAATTTGCATGGGTTTCAGAATGGGCCTGGCTTCTTCTTCCACCTTTATTCACCTGTCTCCTCTTAATTTGTCCGTGTTGTGTCCTGTTTTTTCAAGAAAATTCTGCTTTGCATTTGATTGTGTGCGTCCGGAGTAACTGAAAGTGCTGGCAATTCGTCATGATATTGGAGGAATTCAAGGCTTGCGATAAGGTCTTAGTAAGAGTATATAACAGTGAATAGTTGTGTCTTTTCTAACGAGTGGATTTGTATATTTGTTTGCAGTAGAGTAAATGTCGTGTTCTTTATCCTTCTATTCCGTCGTTTTCCCCTGGATCAGTTTGTCGAATATTTGATATTTTTAACTCCCGAAAGAGTGGCCGAGATCGAAGAGGAAAATGATTACAACTGCTAGGCTAGAACTACCCTTTAGTACATCCGGCCATGGTCGTTGGCAATACTTTTCTATGTCCAAGCTGTTACTTAGTATGTGTGTGGCAAAGTGGCTGGGTGTCCTGCTACTCGTAAATTATTAGTAATTGTTGTGTGCGTCATCGACACTGACAGACGGCTTCTGGTCGTTGGCTGACACTCTCTCAAATATCATCACACAACAACTGTAACCAATTCAGTTCCCCAACGACGAAGACCAAGTACCGAATGTCAAATAACCACTTCCATGTCTCGATGAGCTGATTAGAGCCTGGATTTCACTTGACCCCCTCTTCCACTCCACCGAGTAGGCCATGGTGCCGGACTGAGTGCAGCCACTGCTACCTCGTGAGGTGAATGGCCAATAACGTGCCCGAAACCACCTCAGTCGTCTTTCTTTGATGGCCTCAAATATCCACGAGATGTTGTCTCAGACAGTGCGGACTGTCTCATTGCAGAAAGAGAGCGTGTGCTTCACTCACACGATGGTCCTCAGACAGTGGTGGTCAAAGACTTCCGGTTTCCCCCCCTCCTTCACGAGCAGAGCCCAGCATTCACAACCGTAGACAACGACTGAACGGTCAGATATACCGGACACTCGAATTTGCATGGCGATAGAAAAATTACGTCGGATGAATAAACACATTCTGAGGCTTAAGAAAACCCTACGAGCACCATCAATTCGACAGACAATATCGCTTTCACCCTGTCGACTCGACAACGACATCGGCCGAGGTATTTAAAACTGTCTATTTTCTCAAGTTGACAGCCATTAATCCAGGGGGATCCCTGTCTCGTGCCAGCGAAACATCATTAAAAAACCCCTTTTGGCCACTCGGCGAAGCAAAAACGATTTATCTTATCACTCACATCTTTTGCTTTGTACCACGTTCACAAATAAATTTACCGGCCTGATGAGAATTTGTCAAAGCAGCCATATGCTCGCCAAATGTTCCTCGGGAAGGAATATTTGTTTTAACCTTGGGGGTCCATATGAATTTCATGGGAGACAACCGTCATTCGGACAGGGCGAATAATTGGGTACGAACTCAGCTGATGCATCCTATTGCTTTATGCTCGGTTTGGCTATAGGTTGCACAAAAATGCGTCACATAGTCTTGCCAGCAATGAGCAGCAGCTGGCTAACCCACTGGCGAAAAGGAAATTATGTATGGCCCGTCGCTTTAAAATAATTGCTGAGTCTCTTTCTTACTCCGTCGACTTCCTGCGTAAGACTTCCAGGCTGCTAGAGTATAATGAACTAACTGTATTGACTCTATACATCAAAGAGGGCAAGTAAACAAACCTTCTGCCAGGAAACACGTCGATTTATTTAACGAAAATATAACTGTGCAAATCAAAGTATGCCTTGCAAGGTTTCCCTGAAACACATTAATTTCACAAAATGCGATTTTAATTTAGGGACAAAAAGTTATTAAAAAACGTACTGCATTTGACTCTCGGCGGCAGATGACTGTGTAGAACGACGAGGAGAACAAACCAGCGAAGTCCGTCCATCTTTAACTTGGGGCGGTTGGCTCATAACTGCGCACGGCTGTTTATTGATTTTAGGCGTCATTTAAATGTGCTTCAGAACTGTGACCAATCCCTTCTGTGGCTAAATTTTCGAAGAGCTGGGCCGGCTCTCCACTGTCAAAGCGTCTGGTGAAAAAATCGATCAGAATTTTGAATGGACAGCCAAATTATTTGGCCGTGTGCTGATCGATTTTTTTTTCTTTCGCTGCCTTGGCCTACTTGCTGTCGCCTGTGAGGGTTCTGGCTTCTCCTATTGTGTGCGGTCACCTGAACTGGAGTTAGTTGCGTTTGCGCCCCCCTCTTGGGTAAATTGCTCGACAGGCCGTGTTTTCTCAGTAGTCTTGGGCTCGTACGACCGTCTTGTCTTCGTCGCAGCTTATGTAGTGAGGCAGGACTTTATAGGCTGAAGTAAGGTCTAGATGCCTGTTGATGGAGTTGGCATCTGAGTGCCCAGCCTCGATTGTGAGACGCTCAGTCCTTGAGGTGCCCCTGCCTAAGACGGCTGCTCCTTAAAAATCAAAACAGTGACCAGTTACCCCGATGTGAGCCGCAAGCTGCGAGTTTGGGTCTAGTCTCCGTGTTGCCAGTCTCCGTGCTCATGAAGCCTGGTCTGCAATTTCCGTCTGGTTTCCCCAACGTATTTGCAGTCTCCATCGTTAAAACGTATTTGATAGACAACTGCTGAGGTTTCAGTGGTTGGCAGCATGTCTTTGGGTTACATTGAATGGCTACGAATTGTTGCCTGGGGTCGATGGTCAGTGTCTACCCTGGCGGGTTTTAGCAGTCGTTAAACTGCCTCGGAGACTCCTTTAATGTAAGGAATAGCACTCCAGACTTCGGGTTGTTCTTCTTGTTGTGGAATGGAGGTGAAGAGTGAAACGGCATCAAAAGATATCATGGATTCATCTGGCTCTAGTTTCAGATGTTTTAAACGTTCAAGGAATTGATTAGCAGAAGTCACTGTTGTTGGCGATCCTTCTGCCAGGAACTTAAGACAAGCAAACATCCATTTTGCCAAACCGTATGTAGGAGTACCACGTAGGGAGACGATGGGCCTAAGAGGTACGTCCGATTTGTGCACCTTCGGCAGACCATAACACCGCGCGTTGGTAGAGTCAGAGGGTTTCATGAGAAACCAATCTTTAGCTGTGACGGCCCCATTTGCTCTGAGTTTTGCCAGGTTTTGCCGCTCTCAGGGCTGTCTCTGATCCGGCAACTGAATGAATTACACCTCTTCTCAGCGCCGACGATGGAACCCTATTCACTCAGAAGACACAAATTCTGTAGCAATGTGCCAAGCACTTCAGACGCGTCCTCAACCGCCCCTCCATCATCCCTGACGCCGTCAGCGCCCGTCTGCTGCAAGTGGGTACCAACGTTGGCCTCGACCTCCGGCCCTCTCTCAACGAAACCATCAGCGCCGTGCAGCAACTCTCCTGCGGTAAAGCGTCCGGATCGAACGCGATCCCTCCTAAGAACTACAAGCACGGCGGCCCCCAACTCGTGGTTCACGTGACAGCGCTCTTCTTTGAGATTTGGTGTCATGGTGAAATCCCACAGCATTGCAGGGGCGTCCCAGTCGTCCTATAAACGGAAAGGTAATTTTCAAATCTGCGACAACCATTGAGGCATTTCCTTACTGAACATGGCCGGGAAAACTTTCACTCGCATTATTTCCAACCGCCTGAACAACCACCTGGAACAAGGTAATCTGCCGGAAAGCCAGCTGGGCTTCCGCCGTCATCGTGGAACCACCGACATTATCTTCGCCTCCCACCTCCTGCAGGAGCTATCAGGAGATGCAGACCCCCGTCAACTCTACCTTCGTGAATCTAACTGATGCTTCGATATGGTAAATCGTGAAGAACTGCGGAACATCATGTAGAAATTCGGCTGTCGCGAACAATTATCTCTGATGGTGCGCCAGTTCCACGATGGCATGACAGTGTGAGTCATGGACAATGGAGAGGTCTCAGGGGCCTTCGAAGTGACCAACGGAGTTAAGCGGGGCTGCGTCCTGGTGCCTACCCTCTTCAGTAACATATTCTCTGTCATACTGATGGACGCCTATCGCGACGAATGCCCTGGGATCCGCCTCTCCCACAGGACCAACGGCCACCTCCTCAATCAGCGGCGGGTGTAATTCCAGTCGCTCCCTCAATGCAACCACTTGCAGAGGTATGCAAAGAAGCATGGATCTCTTCTCCGCCAACCTCGAGAACTTCGGCCTGATCATGAACACGGAGAAAATGGTGGCCATGCATCAACCGCTACCCAATGCTGCCTACATCGCATTTCAAATTAACGTGAACGGCGACCAACTAAAAGTGGTGGACAACTTCATGTATCTGGGAAGCACCCTCTCCCTCACAACTAAAATTTACGATAAAGTGGCCCGCCGGGTGTTCAAGGCCTGTCAAACCTTCAGTCGTCTTTAAACCACAGTTTGGAATATCATAGCCTTTGGCATGACTCAGGGGATGTAAAAGGCCAACGTTGCTGTATGAAGCAGAGACCTGGACGGTGGAAATTAAGCAGGCAAGTAGACTCAACCACTCCAACCTTAGTCGTCTTCGTAAAATACTGGATCTGAGGTGGCAATCCGGATCCCAGACACTGAAGTATTGAAGCGGACAGGAATCCTCTGCTTCTAGGCTATGCTGAAACAACTACAACTATGCTGGAGCGATTAACTCGTACAGATGGACGACGACAGGTTAGCCAAACGACTCTTCTGTGGAAATGTCACGACTGGTTCAGGCCGCTAAGGAGGTCAAGTCCGGCTCTTCAAGGATATCCTCAAAACCTTCCTGATGCGCCTGCGGATAAACCCAGCAAATTAAGAATATATCGCCTGGGACCGACCTACATGGAGGAGAACAGTGAAGTCAGACGCAGCAATCGTCGAAGCCAACCGCATCACCGCGGCCAAAGCCAAACGCGGGGCATACAAATCTCAACTGCCGCTGCCGCCGCCTCACAGCGCCAATGCCCAACCGCCTCCAACATGTTCACGATGACAACGGACATTCCGGGCGCCAATTTGACTTGCTGGACACCTCCGAACCAATCTGAGCACCCGGACTGCGCCAACCGTCTTCTTTCCTTCCACATTTCCCTCGCCACCTACGCTTACAACTAACTCTGACCGCCCTATCGAACTACCACTACCATCATCCTCCTTCTATTCCTCCTCCTCCTCTTCCTCCTCCTCCTCCTCCTCCACCTCCTTCACCTCAGCTTCTGCCGCTGTGGCGTCTGCCATGCCCATAAACAATTCACGCAGTTTTGACACTAACAAACATCAACACCATCACCATCAACATCAGTGATGAGGACCTGATCTATACCTGTTCTCATTGCAATCGCACCTTCACCTCACACATCGACCTGGTCGGTCACTTGCGAATCCATCGCAAAGAGACTGGCGAACAAGTGTCTAGAGTACCAACCTACAACCGACGCATCCGCCTCCACTGTCAACACTGCTTTCGCATATTCATGCACCGCATGAGTCTATTCGGCCATATGCGTATCCACGAGAGTGGAATCTATCGCAACTCCCTCACACATAGCACATCCAGCACGCTCACCAAGCCTAGCCCTGCCCACAATTCACCTCCAAGCGGACCCATCGCCACCAGCTACATCATACTCAGCACATCTTGCACACCCAGCGTGTTCAGCCAAACCCATTCTCAGCCGCCCAATGCTCCCTCTACCACCAGCTGCATCATCACCGAAGCTGATACTGACACCGTCAACTTCTCATGTCCACACATTCGCCGCACGCAGCGGCCTAGTCGGTCACTTGCGAATCCATGACACAGAGACGGGCAAACCGGTGTCTTGAGCACCAACCTACTCTCGCCGCATCCGTCTCAACTGTCCGCATTTCACTAGCTTATTTATTCATCGCATGAGTCTATTAGGCCACCCGCGCGTCCACGATAACCTGCGGTAGACAACCGTCGGCTGCATCACACCATCGCATCCTCCCTCACCAGCATCTCATCGCACATCAACACCACCCACCGCAAGCCCCCAACTGTCACCTCCCGCGCAAGTGGGAGTTGTGCGTCTCGGCTCTCCTGTGCATGTGAGATCAGAGTCTGTAACGAAGAGGTCGCATCGAGCGCTGTGACTCTTGAGGCAGCCGACTGATCCCCCAAATCGGTCCACGAAGTCTGCTCAGTTGTGTGTGCTGTGTAGAGCGGCGGACCGACGAACTGAGATCCAGGCTGTCGTGGCCTCTTCTCAAACGATCTGTGACACGCTTATGCATGCGAAGTGACTCAATGTGTGTTTGCTTTATGGGTAGTGCCTCTCAGCCGACGACTTTGGTTACCCAACCTTGCAGGGTGACGGCCCAATCTAAATGCGGGCCCACGTTTCGCCCTTCTAGGTCGAAACGTCTGAAAGCGTGTGTTATGCCAATACCCGCAAACCATGGTCTTCGCAGTCCGTTATTCTCTGGCAGTTCTATGACACCTGGTCCCCTGTCGCTAGATGCGCTTGCGTTATCGCTAGGTACACATGGTAGTGGGCATGACTGCCCAGTCATCTTCGTCGCTCTGGTTCCTCTTGGTGTGTTGTTGTTGCTGTTTGCAAAAAAAATCCTGGTCACTTGTTGTGTGGTAGCAGGCTTGCGCTTGCGCTTCCTCGTCCTTCCGACACCTGTTGGTGTGTTGCTGTTGTTGTTGGTGTATGTTGTGGGGCAGGGGGTGTGGAGTGGAACGACAAGGTGTGGGCTCGACCGTGCCACCCCCTTACGGTCAACTTGATTCTGTATTGACACCGAGCACAGGTGGTGAAGGAGGGAGTGCGGTAGATTTTGCGCAAGTCCACTATCACTATGAACTAATTCACATGCAAGTCACCGTTCCTGCTTCACCTTTCAGTGGAGCCCACGGCGGGCGTCGTCGGAATTGACTGTCGAACTGTCAAATATTTCACATCTCAGCCAACCTAACACGGGCCTGCTAATGATGTGGTGGAAGCGATGCGCGATGATCACCTGATTCGGATTTAAATCTCGAGTGAGGGAACTGAGCTTGAAGTGTCACTAATGACAAATTGGCTGGATGTGGTCGTTCAGTTGTCACCTGTTGGCAAATATGAACGAGAGTCGCTCTCGCCACCCCAAAAATTCTGGGGATGAGCAACACGTATGTACATCATATGTGAAGGTTTGTTGCGAATGTGAAAACGAACTTACGGAGACAAGGACTGCGGCGTTAACACCAGTCTGCAATCTTAATAGTCTGATTTTCCGCATCATTTTTCTTCTTTTTTCAGGTCATGTGCTCTTCCAGCATATCTGAGGACAAGAAGTACTTACGTGCAAGCTGGGCAACCCACAAGTTTTGGTCCGAAACTTACTCAACTTCAAGCCTCAGGGAAGTAGTAGATACGATGAAGACCCTTTCGAACTGTGGCAACAGCATTTGCTTAGTCTGCTCACTGAACGGTTAGCAACCTGTCATAGAGCTTATGACAGCACTGGATGTTTCATATGAAATATTCTGCCACTTCCATACTTTGGGCGGGGGGGTCCATACCTGCGGCAGGATCGACAGCATTCGGAGGTATTCCATGAACATGAGTAATATCTACAGGTCCGGTCATGTGGAATTAATGAATAAGTTCATATTGAATAAATCTTGACCCAACGCTTGGGATTGTTTGCAACGATGTGTTCCGACAGGGACGGTGAAATTGGAGTACTAATTTCTGTCGTATGAGGTGCGTTTACCGATTCGCTTGGGTGTTGGGGTACGTTATATGATTCTCGCAGATAGTCCTGTATCACTGGGTAACATGTGCAGAGGAGGGGGTATCGTTAAAAATAAGGCAGACTGAAGTGTCCCGTTCCAACTAAATAACCACCGCCAACTAGCCAGGCCTAACCCCAGGTATATTTAAAGCATAGGTAAATTCAGCATCTTGTTTTTCTGACATGTCCTACGCAAACAAAAACCTAAATTAAACTGGCGTACTCAGGAAAACTCTACAGGGTGTAGTTTGCAGCAAGATAACTTACAGCCAAAAAACCGCGGAGAGAGGAGAGCGTGCGGAGAGTACTCACAGAGAGAAAGTCAAGACGGCGTGTAGTCGTGACCGTCGGACTTCGAAGGCGGGTGTTACTTAACAGCATATTTTCCTTCAGTCTCTCTTTATAGAAGGAAGAATGGACGAACGCCTTTAAATTCCTGTTGCTTATAAAAAGGTCTTAAAAGAAGATGAAGGAGAATGGTCATAGAATCGGATGCAAAATGCATGTAGTTGTCTGGTAAACACTAGTACGTCTCAACGTGTGCATAGTGCGACAAAGTTGTAGACATGCTAGAGATCATTACCGAAACATGTCAAAGAGTATGGAAACAAACACATCAGTGTTGATAGCTTGGAATTCCGCAAAGACCCAAGACGCGTGTGGTTATCTGCAGGAGGAATGAGAACAAATAAGGACCAACCAATTAACCTCATAGGTGCATCTGATGATGTCTTACGATGCGGTGAACCGAGAAGAAATTCAGACAAGCATTCTTAAACTCTGGGCGCTGTCCCCACATACAGGAGGACAAATAAATTCGGAGTGGATGCGGGCGCATGGATAAGGAAACAGAATTTGAAAGCTTCAACTAGTTGGCAATTATTGGAATCGAGTCCCTGCAGATCGCGGACGTGGGCGACGGAACACAATTACTGTGGCAGAGTCTCACGTCAAGCACCGATGTCCGACTCCAGGAGAGCCAACTAAAAAGAGCTCTGTTTAGGCGCAACGGACAAAACTC